GTGTCTCACCTGTGTGTCTCACTATCTGTCTCACTGTGTGTCTCACTATCTGTCTCACTGTGTGTCTCACTGTGTGTCTCACCTGTGTGTCTCACCTGTGTGTCTCACTGTGTGTCTCACCTGTGTGTCTCACTGTGTGTCTCACTATCTGTCTCACTGTGTGTCTCACTGTGTGTCTCACTGTGTGTCTCACTGTGTGTCTCACTGTGTGTCTCACTGTGTGTCTCACTGTGTGTCTCACCTGTGTGTCTCACCTGTGTGTCTCACTGTGTGTCTCACTGTGTGTCTCACCTGTGTGTCTCACCTGTGTGTCTCACTGTGTGTCTCACCTGTGTGTCTCACTGTGTGTCTCACTGTGTGTCTCACCTGTGTGTCTCACCTGTGTGTCTCACCTGTGTGTCTCACTATCTGTCTCACTGTGTGTCTCACTGTGTGTCTCACTGTGTGTCTCACTGTGTGTCTCACCTGTGTGTCTCACTATCTGTCTCACTGTGTGTCTCACTGTGTGTCTCACCTGTGTGTCTCACCTGTGTGTCTCACCTGTGTGTCTCACTGTGTGTCTCACCTGTGTGTCTCACCTGTGTGTCTCACTGTGTGTCTCACTGTGTGTCTCACTGTCTGTCTCACTGTGTGTCTCACTGTGTGTCTCACTGTGTGTCTCACCTGTGTGTCTCACTGTGTGTCTCACTGTGTGTCTCACTGTGTGTCTCACCTGTGTGTCTCACCTGTGTGTCTCACTGTGTGTCTCACCTGTGTCTCACTGTGTGTCTCACTGTGTGTCTCACCTGTGTGTCTCACCTGTGTGTCTCACTGTGTGTCTCACTGTGTGTCTCACCTGTGTGTCTCACTGTGTGTCTCACCTGTGTGTCTCACCTGTGTGTCTCACCTGTGTGTCTCACCTGTGTGTCTCACCTGTGTGTCTCACTATCTGTCCATGGTGTGTCTCACCTGTGTGTCTCACCCTGTGTGTCTCTCTGTGTGTCTCACCTGTGTGTCTCACCTGTGTGTCTCACTATCTGTCTCACTGTGTGTCTCACCTGTGTGTCTCACCTGTGTGTCTCACCTGTGTGTCTCACTGTGTGTCTCACCTGTGTGTCTCACCTGTGTGTCTCACTGTGTGTCTCACTGTGTGTCTCACTGTGTGTCTCACTGTGTGTCTAGAACATGTGTCCACCTGCTCAACAACACACCAGAGACCTGTACTACGAAGCCGGTTCAACCTAACCTGGATATGTTTGAGTTAGCCGGTTGGTCCAATCCAAAACATACGCGCTCTCGCTAAGCAGTACTACGACGCTGGTTATCAAGTGGATCGCTCAAGCCAGCCGTGTCCTATCTACTTAGGTGCGCGTTCACATGAAAGGGGTGGTATTTGGAGCATTCGACCAATCACAAACATGGAGAAGCGTACTGACAGCGCAGCGTCATACTTCCTGAATGAAAAGTGAACTTTAATATTAGTCAAATATGAAGAAGTTAAACTTTAAACATCCATGACTTAAACACTTTATCCAGGATCAAAGCCACATAGCTGCACCTGCAAGGTGAATACAGCTGGTAACAGAGAAAGTGTTTGAATGCGTACATTAACAGGTTTATGATATCACTGCCCCGTCTAAGACACGATCTGACTTTCATTACATTTGACTCGAGTGTTTCGTCAACTTAATGTGTTGCTTAAAATAATACTTCTGCATACAGTATGTGACACTGTGAGTGTTGCACGGCCAGATACGGCTCAGCTGACTCAGATAAGGAAATATATGATACATTATGATGTGATATGATATGAATGATAATGGGACACATCGACGTCTGCACTCACAGTGCCGCGGACTGTACTTAATGTTACTCTGATCCGGTTACTTATGTCGTGGCAGATATTTAAGTAAGCTTTCTTAACGCTAATGTTATAATAGTCAGATTGCTCTGAAGATAGGAGGAGGGGATATTCTATTAATGTTCACGTTCACACAGTCAGGTGATTTTTTCCGGCCGTCTTTCCTGCAACGGCAGTTTTTCTGTATTTCCTCTATCCTGTAATATGACTTGATAGCTTTAAACTCCGCACACTGAGCTCTGATTGGTCAGCAGGCGGTGAGCTCTGATTGGTCAGCAGGCGGTGCTTTCACTGAGTTGATCTCTTAGCCTGCCACCTAACCTGCTCCGGAGCAGGTTAGCCACTCAGCATCAGTTACCATGGAGATGTAGTCCGCTAAAAAGAGAACCAGCGTCGTAGGACCGGAAACCCAGAGAGAAAAAGAAATCTGTATAGTTTCTATAATTTAAGCACTTTGAGCACCAGGGAAAACGCTATATCAATAACATGTATTATTATTATTATAAGTCTAAATAAAAGGCTCCCTCAGACTCACAGGGTGTTCGTGTCTCCAGAGATTTAAAGGTCAGATTCGAGTAGAGACAGATCAGAGTCCCAGCAGGAACATTCCCCCTGAAGTTCAGCAGTCCCTCCAGGGTGATGCGGGGGGGGGGGGGGGGGGGGGGTCTGGGTCTGATCTGTCTGTCAGTCTCCCACAGAAACATCTCTTAATCCTGCTTCCAGGAACATGTAGGACAGGGGGGTCCAAACTAGGGCCCGGGGGCCGAATGTGGGCCAAAGCTAAATCTAATAATGGAATCTGGCCCCACCTGAACGTGTGCTCGTCTCATTGTACTTCTTAATGTGTGTAAAGGTATTTTACACAGTAGTATTCATGTGTTTGAGCCCACATTTTTATTTAATGACTTTGTATACTGCCTGCAGATTGATCCTCTTCAGAATAATATATATGATATGTTTTATAATGATTGATCATTAAAGTGTTCTCAAAGCTGGTAAAGGTGCAGCTAGTTTGAATGACTTTGTATACTGCAGGGTAGCTTGTGGATTTACTCCAGAGGCCTGTACGACGAAGCCGGATGTTCTCTTAGCTGACTTCAGGGAAAGCTCGGGCTTTCCGGTCCTACGACGCTGGTTCTCTTTTTAGCGGGCTAGATCTCCATGGTAACTGATGCTGAGCGGCTAGCCTCCTCGGGAGCAGGTTAGGTTGCAGGCTAAGAGATCAACTCAGTGAAGGCATCGCCTGCTGACCAATCAGAGCTCCGTGTGCGGAGTTTAAAGCTTTCAAGTCATATTACAGGATAGAGGAAATACAGAAAAACTGCCGTTGCAGGAAAGACGGCCGGCAAAAATCACCTGACTGTGTGAACGTGAACTTTTATAGAATATCCCCTCCCATCTTCAGAGCAATCTGACTATTATAACATTAGCGTTAAGAAAGCTTACTTAAATATCTGCCACAACATAAGTAACCAATATTAACCAATCATATATTTCCTTATCTGAGTCAGCTGAGCCGTATCTGGCCGTGCAACACTCACAGTGTCACATACTGGATGCAGAAGTATTATTTTAAGCAACACATTAAGTTGACGAAACACTCTAGTCAAATGTAATGAAAGTCAGATCGTGTCTTAGACGGGGCAGTGATATCATAAACCTGTTAATGTACGCATTCAAACACTTTCTCTGTTACCAGCTGTATTCACCTTGCAGGTGCAGCTATGTGGCTTTGATCCTGGATAAAGTGTTTAAGTCATGGATGTTTTAAGTTTAACTTCTTCATATTTGATTAATATTAAAGTTCACTTTTCATTCAGGAAGTATGACGCTGCGCTGTCAGTACGCTTGTCCATGTTTGCAGTGGCGTTTTTATATGTACAAAAGTGGTGGGGCACAAAAAACGTAGATGTCTATATATAAGCTTCTGCAGTGACGTGCAGTGAGGTTCATGGCTGCTGAGGCTCTGACTCTTCAGGTTTACAAATATTATATTTTGACCTAAACCAAAATATAATATTATTTTCAAAAGCTTTTTTTGTCTGATGCTTCGATTAATTTTAAACAGACAGTTCAACAAAAGGATACCCAACAAATGTAATTTTATCATTTACATATTGAATTGTTCTCTCTTAGTAAGATCCCATTTTCAATCAAATGGCGGTCTTACCTTGACTTGAAGATGAAGTCCATTTGCCTATCCTTCTGGACAAACATTTCTATTACTTTTTTGTAAAAGTCCTCCTTATCTTCTTGTAGTTTCAAAAGTCTATCATAAATCTAATCCATAGATTTATGATTCGAAAATTATATAAGTAGGGTAGACATGTGGATGTTATCCGGCTGAACAAAACGTGCATTTATCTAACAGGTACGTTTCCCACAGATCTTATTTACAGCTATTTTCTAAAATCCTCTGGAGAAATCTCATTGCTTTTTTGTGCTTACTTCCTGGTTTCAGGACGCGTCACTGCAGCTCTCTCGTCTCCTCTTCACGCACCACACTTTTCGCGGCACACGTACTTACAGCCAATCAGCTCTGAATGATGTGAGATGACGTATGGTGGGGATGGCAGCTCAGTGCCCCTATGGTCTTTTTTTTTTGCCACACACATTAAATAGGAAAATACTCTGAGCATGCGCAGTGAAGTTTTTACAGTCACGTTCACTTCACAGTGAGAGGAAGGGGCATGATCAGGTTTTGTCCCACATGGCTCAAAACGGCACTGTAGACACTAATTAGAAGAACACAGACTAAAACAGCATGTACAGACGAATCAGACGATTAAACATGACCTTAAAATATATTTTATATATTTTTTAATTTCTTTTTTTGCATCTCTTTGCATTTTTTGTAATCATTATGTGTAATACTTTCTGCTGACACTAGGTGGGGCTGTGCCCCACCTGCCCCTAATGACCAGTCGCCACTGCATGTTTGTGATTGGTCGAATGCTCCAGATACCACCCCTTTCATGTGAACGCGCACCTAACTAGGTAGGACACGGCTGGCTTGAGCGATCCACTTGATAACCAGCGTCATAGTACAGTTTAGTGAGAGCGCGTATGTTTTGGATTGGGCCAACCGGCTAACTCTAACATATCCAGGTTAGGTTGAACCGGCTTCGTAGTACAGGCCTCTGGCTTCGTAGTACAGGCCTCTGGCTTCGTAGTACAGGCCTCTGGCTTCGTAGTACAGGCCTCTGGCTTCGTAGTACAGGCCTCTGGCTTCGTAGTACAGGCCTCTGGCTTCGTAGTACAGGCCTCTGGCTTCGTAGTACAGGTCTCTGGCTTCGTAGTACAGGTCTCTGGCTTCGTAGTACAGGCCTCTGGCTTCGTAGTACAGGTCTCTGGTGGAACTAAAGTCTGATTTAAGACCTGATTATATTTCACATCATTCATCCACATCTGTAAAGTAACTAAAGGGATTAAATACATGCACTGTAGTGGAGTACACCATGTACCTCTGAACTGTAGAGGAGTAGAAGTACACCATGTACCTCTGAACTGTAGTGGAGTAGAAGTACACCATGTACCTCTGAACTGTAGTGGAGTAGAAGTACACCATGTACCTCTGAACTGTAGTGGAGTAGAAGTACACCATGTACCTCTGAACTGTAGTGGAGTAGAAGTACACCATGTACCTCTGAACTGTAGTGGAGTAGAAGTACACCATGTACCTCTGAACTGTAGTGGAGTAGAAGTACACCATCTACCTCTGAACTGTAGAGGAGTAGAAGTACACCATGTACCTCTGAACTGTAGTGGAGTAGAAGTACTCCATGTACCTCTGAACTGTAGTGGAGTAGAAGTACACCATGTACCTCTGAACTGTAGTGGAGTAGAAGTACACCATGTACCTCTGAACTGTAGTGGAGTAGAAGTACACCATGTACCTCTGAACTGTAGTGGAGTAGAAGTACACCATGTACCTCTGAACTGTAGTGGAGTAGAAGTACACCATGTATCTCTGAACTGTAGTGGAGTAGAAGTACACCATGTACCTCTGAACTGTAGTGGAGTAGAAGTACTCCATGTACCTCTGAACTGTAGAGGAGTAGAAGTACACCATGTACCTCTGAACTGTAGTGGAGTAGAAGTACACCATGTACCTCTGAACTGTAGTGGAGTAGAAGTACTCCATGTACCTCTGAACTGTAGAGGAGTAGAAGTACACCATGTACCTCTGAACTGTAGTGGAGTAGAAGTACACCATGTATCTCTGAACTGTAGTGGAGTAGAAGTACACCATGTACCTCTGAACTGTAGTGGAGTAGAAGTACTCCATGTACCTCTGAACTGTAGAGGAGTAGAAGTACACCATGTACCTCTGAACTGTAGTGGAGTAGAAGTACACCATGTACCTCTGAACTGTAGTGGAGTAGAAGTACTCCATGTAGCTCTGAACTGTAGTAGAAGTACACCATGTACCTCTGAACTGTAGTGGAGTAGAAGTACACCATGTACCTCTGAACTGTAGTGGAGTAGAAGTACTCCATGTACCTCTGAACTGTAGAGGAGTAGAAGTACACCATGTACCTCTGAACTGTAGTGGAGTAAAAGTACACCATGTACCTCTGAACTGTAGAGGAGTAGAAGTACACCATGTACCTCTGAACTGTAGTGGAGTAAAAGTACACCACGTACCTCTGAACTGTAGTGGAGTAGAAGTACACCATGTACCTCTGAACTATAGTGGAGTAAAAGTACACCATGTACCTCTGAACTGTAGAGGAGTAGAAGTACACCATGTACCTCTGAACTGTAGAGGAGTAGAAGTACACCATTGACCTGGTGGTCACTGGACCACAGGGAAGTGGTTTACATGGGACTACATTTATTGAGTCGCAAAGAAGCAGCAAAAAACTGAACTAAAGGGGATCATTTTCTCTCTAAATCCTCTTCAGAATCCACCAGAGTCCATCAGAATCCATCAGAGACCATCAGAGACCATCAGAGTCCACCAGAGTCCACCAGAGACCACCAGAGACCACCAGAAACCATCAGAGTCTATCAGAGACCATCAGAGACCATCAGAGTCCATCAGAGACCATCAGAGTCCATCAGAGTCCATTAGAGTCCACCAGAGACCATCAGAGACCATCAGAGTCCATCAGAGACCATCAGATACCACCAGAGACCATCAGAGACCATCAGAGTCCATCAGAGACCATCAGATACCACCAGAGACCATCAGAGACCATCAGATTCCACCAGAGACCATCAGAGACCATCAGATACCACCAGAGACCACCAGAGACCATCAGATACCACCAGAGACCATCAGATACCATCAGAGACCATCAGATGACTCAGCTCAACATGTTCCTGGTCTTCTTTGTAGGTGAGTTTCGCTTCTTTATTCTCAAAGTCTCATCACTCTACCTGGAGGGAAAGAAGGTAGGAAAGATTAGATAAAGGAAGTGAGGAAGGAAGGAAGGTAGGAAAGATTAGATAAAGGAAGTGAGGAAGGAAGGAAGGAAGGGAGGATTGGATGGGGGCTCAGAACAGTCTCATAACTCACACATGCACACACAAATGTGTTATATCTCTCACAGGCTCCGCCCTCTACTGGACTCTATGGGTACTACCTTATCATGCTTGCATTCACCTACTGAGATTTCTATAGACGTAGCCGGCCCCGGGGCGGGCCTACCTGAATGCGTGCACAAGCCCACCGGCTTATATAAGGCGGCCACGCCTCCCGTTGCCGTCATCCTTTTCTCTTCAGCGAGCGAGCAACAACTGAAGCAGAGACGTTTGAAGAAGAAAGAGTTATCATACCTCCATGGAGTCGCCACTTCCAGAGACCCGGGCCTGTCCTTCGTGCCCTGGCTTAAATGGCGGGCGACGATCCCCACAACCTCGGCTTCGAGTGTTTGGGGGACCAGGATATGGCCGAGGCGGTGCCATTCACGTTCGCCATTCCAGCGGGGCGGATGGCTCCGTTTGCCGTTGTCAGGCACTTCCGGGTCCGGCGTCCATGGAAGTCCACCGCCCAGGGCTGCACTTCCCCCGAGGTGGTGACCATGGCGGCACAGCTGCTCCCAGCGGGCAGCAGGCAGAGAGCTGAAAAGAGCTCTGCCCCGCTGCAAATAAACACGGGTGTGTTGGGCATCTCGCTCATTGCTAGAAATGAGGTGGTGCGTTCAAGGACCTCAGTAGAAAATTGGCCCTCTCTGTGTCAGCCCCCGATGAGCCAATCTTCCTGTTATGGAAGGTTTGGTGGCGGAGTAGGCCACCAGAGAGTACTACAGCTTCTTAGCTGTGGCCCCACAGCTGCTTGCATGTCCCCTGAACATAGCTTCATGGGGAATGGAAGCCCAACTGTGTACTGACAGAGTGGGTGGACGGGGCACTGAGACTGGGTTACTCACTCCAGTTTTGCAGCGTCCCTCCTCCATTCAGGGGCATAAGGTGGTGTGTGTGTGAAAAATGCATTCAGTAAAAACGATTGCATTTATCCCAGAGTGGGAATGCTCCGCTTTTTGGACAAAATGAACATTGACTCCTCCTGTCATTGGACGTACTTCGTCTCACTGGAATATTAACGGGCAGATTGAATACAAAATCGACCCCATTTCTCCGGCCAATGGCAGGAGAGTTTTGAAAGTGACAAAAAACGCGATATTTACATTTTCCAGCAGGGGGCGCTCTAAGACCGTGTAATAACTTTGCTGTACTTGGGAAAAATAAAATAAAGTGTATTTATGACGAAACGCGCTTAAAACGGGTAAACAAGTGTTTCTGACCCCAAACTTTGTGGGTGTGCTACAGTGGGTACCACCTGTCACTATACCACGTTTGTAATCCATGCCACATTTATAAATATTTGACATTGTCCGAATGTCTCAATTTTCACACCATTACATCATATGGTGGCCTATATATCACCGTTCAAATATCAGCTCCAAATGTCAATGCAGGTGCAGGGGATTTAAACGGAAAACAAATATGTGAGGATCAAAAATACATATGTAAAACTTGTTTCTGTATTTGGATTTTATTTACATGAATATGAAACGGAACACATTTGTGTGAGCATTGAAAAACAGTGTGGATCCTTTTGCAGATCATGAAATACAAATGTGAATCCTTCTGTGTGCATGTGTGTATTATGAGACTGTTCTGAGCCCATACGTCTTCAGACCACTCTTCTAAGAACTGGACCTCCATGTTGAACTTTTCCCCAGAACTCAAAACACACTGACTTTAAATCTTTCAAATCTCTCCTTTTTAAGTTTTTTTTCCAGTAGCTCGGCTCCAGAAGATCCAGGACCCCCAGGAGATCCTGGACCCCCAGGAGATCCAGGACCTCCAGGAGATCCAGGAGCTCCAGGACCCCCAGGACTTCCAGGACCTTAAAGACCTCCAGGACCCTCGGGACCTTAAGGATCTCTCGGATTTAAATGATATTCAGGATTTCCATGACCCCTGGGACCCCAATGACCCCTGGGACCCCAATGACCCCTTGGACCCCAGAGACTTCCAGGACCCCCAGAATCCTCAGGACCTCCAGGACCCCCAGGACTTCCAGGACCCTCGGGACCTCCAGGACCCCCAGTATGTCCAGGACCCCCAGGAGCTCCAGGACCCTCGGGACCTCCAGGAGCGCCAGGACCAGGACCCCCAGGACCAGGACCAGGACCAGTGCCCCCCTGGCTCCTGTACCCCCCCTCTAGGAGACCTGATGGTGGGTCGAGCTGCTCAGCTGTCAGCCTCCTCCACATGTGGTCTGGAGGGCCCAGAGAACTACTGCATCCTGGGATACCTGGAGGTCAGAGGGGGGGGGGGGGACTGTAGATCTGAAACTCTTTGAAAATGAAAATGTGTTTGTATTTAAATCTAAATGTTAATATAATAACGTTTTGGTGGTAAATATGATCAACTTCTGTGATTGATGTGTTTCTGACTGGAACATGTTCTGACTCGTCTCCGCCCTGAAGGAACCTTCTCCACATGACTTCATTTCTGCTTTCTGTTTAACCCTTTACTGTCAGAAGGTTCTTCCTGTTCCTCTCGGTGTGGGTTCCTCATGTATCGTGGGTTCTGTGTGTGTCAGGAGGATCAGAAGTGTTTCCTGTTCCTCTCTGTGTGGGTTCCTCATGTATCGTGGGTTCTGTGTGTGTCAGGAGGATCAGAAGTGTTTCCTGTTCCTCTCGGTGTGGGTTCCTCATGTATCGTGGGTTCTGTGTGTGTCAGGAGGATCATAAGTGTTTCCTGTTCCTCTCTGTGTGGGTTCCTCATGTATCGTGGGTTCTGTGTGTGTCAGGAGGATCAGAAGTGTTTCCTGTTCCTCTCGGTGTGGGTTCCTCATGTATCGTGGGTTCTGTGTGTGTCAGGAGGATCAGAAGTGTTTCCTGTTCCTCTCTGTGTGGGTTCCTCATGTATCGTGGGTTCTGTGTGTGTCAGGAGGATCAGAAGTGATTCCTGTTCCTCTCGGTGTGGGTTCCTCATGTATCGTGGGTTCTGTGTGTGTCAGGAGGATCAGAAGTGATTCCTGTTCCTCTCGGTGTGGGTTCCTCATGTATCGTGGGTTCTGTGTGTGTCAGGAGGATCAGAAGTGATTCCTGTTCCTCTCGGTGTGGGTTCCTCATGTATCGTGGGTTCTGTGTGTGTCAGGAGGATCAGAAGTGATTCCTGTTCCTCTCGGTGTGGGTTCCTCATGTATCGTGGGTTCTGTGTGTGTCAGGAGGATCAGAAGTGATTCCTGTTCCTCTCGGTGTGGGTTCCTCATGTATCGTGGGTTCTGTGTGTGTCAGGAGGATCAGAAGTGTTTCCTGTTCCTCTCGGTGTGGGTTCCTCATGTATCGTGGGTTCTGTGTGTGTCAGGAGGATCAGAAGTGTTTCCTGTTCCTCTCTGTGTGGGTTCCTCATGTATCGTGGGTTCTGTGTGTGTCAGGAGGATCAGAAGTGTTTCCTGTTCCTCTCTGTGTGGGTTCCTCATGTATCGTGGGTTCTGTGTGTGTCAGGAGGATCAGAAGTGTTTCCTGTTCCTCTCTGTGTGGGTTCCTCATGTATCGTGGGTTCTGTGTGTGTCAGGAGGATCAGAAGTGTTTCCTGTTCCTCTCGGTGTGGGTTCCTCATGTATCGTGGGTTCTGTGTGTGTCAGGAGGATCAGAAGTGTTTCCTGTTCCTCTCTGTGTGGGTTCCTCATGTATCGTGGGTTCTGTGTGTGTCAGGAGGATCAGAAGTGTTTCCTGTTCCTCTCTGTGTGGGTTCCTCATGTATCGTGGGTTCTGTGTGTGTCAGGAGGATCAGAAGTGTTTCCTGTTCCTCTCGGTGTGGGTTCCTCATGTATCGTGGGTTCTGTGTGTGTCAGGAGGATCAGAAGTGTTTCCTGTTCCTCTCTGTGTGGGTTCCTCATGTATCGTGGGTTCTGTGTGTGTCAGGAGGATCAGAAGTGTTTCCTGTTCCTCTCTGTGTGGGTTCCTCATGTATCGTGGGTTCTGTGTGTGTCAGGAGGATCAGAAGTGTTTCCTGTGTGACTCTCGGCTGCTGTACAGTAGCTATAGCAACCCAGACAGCCACCGCGTGGAGAACCTGATCACGACCTTCGACCCCGACAGGAAGCTGAGGTGGTGGCAGTCTGAGAACGGTGTGTTTAGAACCATCACAAGCACCCCTTTAATACTCATATCACCAACATACGTATAATCTTTCTTTAGTAACAGCAGTCAGGGGTGTGTGTTAGTTAGTATGGGAGTGTGCGCTGTGCATTCTGGGATATGTAGGAACATGCAGACACGAGTTCACGTGTTCATGAGTTCACGTGTTCGGACACAAGTTCACGTGTTCAGACACAAGTTCACGTGTTCATGAGTTCACGTGTTCGGACACAAGTTCACGTGTTCATGAGTTCACGTGTTCAGACACAAGTTCACGTGTTCATGAGTTCACGTGTTCGGACACAAGTTCACGTGTTCAGACACAAATTCACGTGTTCAGACACAAGTTCACGTGTTCAGACACGAGTTCACGTGTTCAGACACGAGTTCACGTGTTCAGACACGAGTTCACGTGTTCGGACACGAGTTCACCTGTTCGGACACAAGTTCACGTGTTCGGACACGAGTTCACGTGTTCAGACACGAGTTTACGTGTTCGGACACGAGTTCACGTGTTCGGACACGAGTTCACGTGTTCAGACACAAGTTCACGTGTTCGGACACGAGTTCACGTGTTCAGACACAAGTTCACGTGTTCAGACACGAGTTCACGTGTTCATGAGTTCACGTGTTCGGGCACAAGTTCACGTGTTCAGACACAAGTTCACGTGTTCAGGAGTTCACGTGTTCGGACACAAGTTCACGTGTTCGGACACGAGTTCACGTGTTCATGAGTTCACGTGTTCGGACACGAGTTCACGTGTTCGGACACGAGTTCACGTGT